TTTTATTTACGCGTTTTCATTCGTTTTATGAAATTTTTGTTTGTTAAAAAAAAAAAAAAAAAAATTTTTTTTTTTAACAAACAACCGTTTCCCCCCCCCCCACCCCCCTACCCAACAAATATTATTTATTTTTATTTTCAATTACACGCCGCGATCGATTTTTTCCTTTTTAATATACTCGCATCCATTTAAATTTTGTATTTTTTTCCCCCTACTTTGTTATTATAATTGAAAAAAAAAACGTTATTATTATTATTATTATTTCATACCAATACGTTTAATGACGTTCGCCTCATTTTACAACCCGACATTTTCGAATAAAAAATTAACGCATTCCACACATTGAATTTTTGTATCACATAATATAATTCTCTTTTTTTTTTTTTTTAATGATTCTCGTTTTAATAATATCATTAAAAAAAAAAAAAGAAACCTCGATGATAAATAATTAGTTTATTGGTTCCATTAAACGTGTTTTATACGCGTGTGAACCCGCTTAAACATAATAAATTTAATTATCAAAAAAAAAAAAAAAAAAAAAAAATGGAAAATTTCACACCTGCGAGGGACTCCACCACCAACAAACCGCCATTAAATTAATTTTTTTTAAATTTAATCGAGAAAAAAAAAAACGATTGCATTGTAACCGTTTTTTAGTTTTTAAACGAACCTTTGATTTTATAACGAAATTAATAAGTTTTTTATGCGATTAAAACACATAAACCTTTTTCGTACCTGGTTAATTATACTAAATCAACGAAAATGAGGTCGTTCTTTTTCCCCCCCCCACCCTCCCTTCGGTTTCACGTAAATTGTGGCTCGTTAAAAATTTTTTTATTGTATTGTTCATACACGTACCTGTACATCCATCCTTTAACTTTTTAATTGTATTTGTTGTGAATTTTTTTTAAAATGGCCTCCCAGAAGTAAAAGTTTACCTCCTAAGATGTATGTATGTATGCATCCATAATTTTTTTTTCTTTTCTTCCTTTTTCACACAAGAGACAATTGTCTTCGTAAAAATATTTTACATCTTCATTTTTTTCCTCTTTTCTTTTCTTTTTTTACGTCGTCGACTACTGTAAAAAAAAAAAAAAAATTAGAAAGAAAGAAAAAAAAAAAGAAAAAAGGAAAATTTTCATAATAACATTATTAACGATTCAATTTACATAAAAAGAAGCCGAACTCGAAAATCATTTTATGACAAATCCAATTATTATTATTATTATAACAAATTTAAAAAAAAAAAAAAAAGATTTTAAAATTTTGTTCATTGTAAGTAAATTAAATATAACTGTACCTTAAAATACAATTCTTTTATTTTTTATTTTTTTTTAAAAACGATTCGCCATCTTTTGTTCTCCCTTGTCACTTTTTTTTTTTTTTAATATTTTAAAAAAAGAATTTTTTTAAAAAAAATTTTCAACTCTTAATTTTGTTTATTGGAAATGAGAGAAACAAGAGAGAGAGAGAGAGAGAGAGAGAGAGAAAAATTAAGTATAATTGACTCTTTTCAAAATCTAATGACAAAAATAACGGTTTTTAATTATTAAAAAAAAACGTTGGTTCGTATTCGACTTTTTGGGGGGGGGGGAGGAAGGGAATTCGAGTGTGAAGGGAAAATACGTTAAATAATGTAATAACTCAATTCATAATAGTAATTGATCTCTAAACAATATTTAACAATAATAAATCAGTCAATTTCGCTAATACAGAGAATGTTGTTTTCGATAACAATGCTCTTATGCAGGCAACAGCAGCAGGAGCAACAACAACCCCCACGATGCACCCCCTCATCTCCCCTCATTTCCTCTTTTGTAAAACAATATGGAAATTGTAAATATTTATCAAAAATTTTTTTAAAAAAAAATTCAATTAATGTATTTTTATGAATTATTACCGCATGATGATGATGATGATCTCATCGTATTTTTTTAATGCAGCCAAATGAAACTTTCTGTTGTCTGTTCTCATCAGTTTTCCACAAAATCTGAAAGCAGAAGAAGAAAAAAAAAATTAATTTAAATTCATAGATTTTTATAAGATGGCGAACTACTTATTTTAAATCCACTCAAACACAGTTAATAAAAAAAAAAAATTAAATTCTAGTTTTTATTTTTTTTAACCCTCTATTTTATATATTTAATCTTTTCCTTTTGTTAAATTTTAACTTTTAAATGTACATAACAAAATTTTACTATTATTATTATTATTATTGTTACAAATCAGATGCTGTTATTTTCAAGAGATGAAAAATAAAAAAAAAAAAAAAAAAAAAATTTAATTTAAAGTGGATTTAACAAT